CCGAGGCCGTTCACCATATCGGGGTCGCGGGTCGTTCGGGTGGAACCCGCGCAGCCCGAGTCGACGGTATGGGCATCGGCGGTAGGTGTGGTCTGCTTCCCCGCAGTGGAAGCACAGAGGGCGTCGGTCGGGCGTTCGCCACATATCGGTCTTCCGGGGTGCACGGGGCTCCTGACTGGCGTACTGGAGCTGATCGTCACGGCGTCGGTCGTGCTGCGGCGCAGGAGAGTGACGTCGGGGCGGCGCAACATAGGCTCGAGGAGGAGGCGGTGGCCATCGGGCCACTGCGGCGTAAGTCAGCGTGGGCTCCTCGGTGGCTGCCACGGCGACGGGAGCCTCTGGTTGGATGGCTCTCTGGACCTCTTCCCGCATAACCTCGGCGATAAAGACCGTCGCTGGTCGGTTTGCAGCTGGCAGCAACCGGCGGATTTCCTCCCGGACGACCTCCCGGATGATTTCGCGGATGTCCGTACCAGGAGCGTTTTCGCCACTAAGCAGAGCGGTTGCAGTGACGCTTGAATGCCGCTGGTAGTGGGAAGCGCGCGCTTAAAGGGCGCGCTCGATGTTTGTTGCCTCGGTGACGAAGGCGTCGACGGTTGCCGGCGGGTTGCGGACGAGGCCTCCGAAATTGTCGTCTCTCACCCCGCGCATGAGAATTCGTAGTTTCTTCTCTTCGGTATCCCGAGGGTCGGCGCGGGCACTCAGGCGCAGAACGTCCTCTACGAAGCCGGTGACGGTCTCGTTGGGGCCCTGGGTTCTGGTTCGTAGTAGGTCCTCGGCTCTCTCTCGGCGGTGGTGGTCGCTGAACGTAGCCTTGAGATCGGTCTTGAAAATGTCCCACGATGTCAAAGAGGACTCATGATTCTCGTACCAGTGCTTGGCGGTACCCTCAAGCGAAAAATAGACGTTGTGCAGGCGCTGCTCGTCGGTCCAGCAATTTTGGCGGGCCACGCGTTCATACTGGTCAATCCAGTCTTCGACGTCTTCGTATTCCTCGCCGTGAAATGGAGCAGCCGTCCGTGGTGCGACGGGCAGATAAACGACGGCTGGAGCGGCCGGGGTCTCCGACTGGTTGGCCATCGTCGTCCTCCTGGTTTGCCTGGTCCTGGGTGGCAAGGGTCCTGACTCCGGGGGTAGGCCAAGGTTCCGGCGACTTAATCGGATCTCGGTCTGGTCTTCGTTGGGTTCTTGGGGGCTGGTGTTCGGACTTGCACTGCGGGAACTCGGAGGGGAGCGCTGCACGGGCATGCGGTTACCCCGCACCTCCACCAAAATGTCACGGGTGGTGACCAAAAGAAAACAGGAAATAAACAAGAGGAAATAAACGTTTAATGTGGCGAACTTGTGCCAAAAATAAAAGGGTACAAAAGAAAACAGCAGAGCGTCGCGGGCGTCGATGTCGGCGAAACCGCAGGATCGAGCGCAGATGCGAGACTGACTCGACAAGGTCGCGAGCGGCGTCTTATCTAGAGTGAGTCACTATCTCGAAGATTCGGCGGAGAAGGTTCGAGCGTAGCGCGCTCGGGGCGAGAATGAACACGCACTTTCTAGAACAACATAAGCAGGGATAAACGACAGAAGTTATGTCCGGAGCAAGAATAAACGAGAAAGTTCTAGAAACCCGTGACCCTGCGCGCGGCAATATCGTAACCACTAGATTCATCTCTTGTCTCTCTCTGAAGTACAAAATCAATGCAGGAGACGCAGGACCTCCTGTGCGAAGGGCCATGTCCTCCGCAGATCCCGTGCTTGCATTGACTTCGTTTAAGCAGGAGGCATGCACTCTATGCCCTGACGTCATAAATACTGCCCAAAATACAGGACAATGCGTGTGACGTCACTTTGTACTGAACAAAAGCAGTGTGTCGTCACATCATGACGGTCGACGTCGCCAAATGAAAGGACCTGAATCAGGACGCGTGCGTTGACGTTTTGTGGTGAGAGAATTACGCCCCCCCCCCCCCCCTGCGTGGGTTTCGTATTATTCAACATGAAAGGTGTTTGTTCGTGAGTAAACACGCTGGTAGGTTAGTTTCTCAGGTTAGCTACACTTTTGTCTAGCGATGTAAAACGTGAGTTTATTGGTTTTGTGATTAATGCATGAATGGTATACTTTGTTTCACTTTTAGTCCAGACGTAGCCGACGGCACGAGCTGATAAGACCCGTCAGGCAGTCTCGAATGCGCACCGTCGTGGTGCTCGTCGTGTTTGTGGCGGCTTCTATCATCGCTTAGCCAGTTATATACAGAAACGGCCTAGTGACTCGCGCTTTTGGCGCTGCCTGATTGTTCCCATTAATTCGTAGTGCAGGCTGCTTCTGGACTTCAGCTGAAACGAGGTATAGTAAGGGGGGGGGGGGGGGGAGGAGGTACAGCGCTGCCCCCCGAAGTTCAGAAACTTCTGAAAGAATGTCTCGTATATATGTTACATCTCACACTCACAACAAAGACTTCTAATAACCTCTTGAACTCACCCCCCCCCCCCTTAATTATCTTAACTATAGCCCCATTGTTCTGTTCAGTGTCAGTTCTGAGCAGACTTGTACTTAACGGGTTACAAGTAACTGATTACTTTTAATCAGTTAGATTTTATTTTAACGTTTTAACGCTTCAATTACGTTTTTTTTTCTGCGGTGACGTTTGCTGTAATTCAATTACTTATTTTTGTAATCAATTGCAAGTAATCAATTATAAGTTTCCCAAGGAGCTCAAGACTATTGAGTTGAGTATTTTACGTCAGTCGTCTATGTTGCGTCAACGATTGACACTTTATTTTACCACTAAACAACTGAAAAACGATACCAAGATACCAGAAGGATTAGAATGTCAACGCGCTCAGTGACGTTTTGACTATAAGGTGTGAATGACAGAAAGAAACCAAAGAAAAGAAACCATAGATGCATGCATTTTTTTTTAAATTTCGTAATCAATTAAAAAAAGTAACGTGAACAGTAATCATTTGCTTTCTGGTCATTTTTCAATTACTTTTGTGATTAAGTAATCGATTGCCGTGATTAGCTACATTTTTGCAATTCAGTGATTGTAATCGGTTACTTTTTTCAGTAACGCGTACAAGACTAGTTCTGAGTGAATGCCAAAAAGATAAAAGACATCACGAATTTGGCATATCACGTGACCTCTTAGGTATCCTGAACATGGAGTTGTGCCAGTATAGTCACGTGATTTATGGTTGCTTACCACATCCTCAAAAGGAGGTCCCTCGATTTCCGCCCGAAGACGTCATACGCGTCAGGCCGCTGCTTGCCGCGACCCTGGCGGCGGCACAAGAGCGAAGGAAGATCCAGCAGACGTCTCTTTTCTGCTGTAGGTCGCTCTCCAGCTCGACAGTAGTTCACAGAAGATTCAGTAGACAGGTGTTAGGACCCCGCGACAACAGCGACACTCGCGTTCGCTCGTGCTTTTTGCCGGTAGTTGTGCCACCATCCGCCAGGATCGCGATATTCGACAACATGAGATAGAGAACCTAGACTGTAGAGAGGGTCCATCTCAAACCATGTGGAACACTTGCAACTTAATTATGCGAACGCCTCCTGCATAGATTGATCGAGAGTACCATGCGCTGCGTTTGCGCGTGGTAAGGGGGAAAGCAGGAGGAAAAGGCGGAGTCGTTTGCAGACGACCAACGCGTTCGTCACCTCCTCGCAGCGCTTATTGCAAACGCGGCCCATAAAACACGTGATACCCGATCGAGCAGTTGGAAATTATTGGTAACACGGGATCTCTAACATGAGACGCCGACACCATGACGTGATTTGTTGCCATTTCGGGACACTTTGGCTGCACGGGAGGAGGAGCGGAACGCTGAACACATCAGTCGAGGACGCGTTCCAAGCACAATAGTCATATAATGTTTGTGATGATTATATTGTTTTCGCACACCTCAAAGTCATGGTTTTATTGTACCTTTGCCTGTTGTAATTCACAAGGGGATTAACAGAATTCTGAAATAAATACATAAAAATGGCTTCTAGTAGGAAAAATGTAAACAACAAATATTAAAAAAAAAAATGTTGTATATGTTTTTCAGTGTGAGTAAAAGTTTCATGTACCGTATTTGCGTCCGCACCCGGTGTATAACCCGCTGGGGCGAATTCGGGGTCGGTTATAAAAGTTCTTGCTTAGATAGTCAGCACCCGGCGCAAAGTCCCCACTCTGTGCATAGTCCAGACCTGCTGCCGACACGAGAATCTTCTCATACACGGCACATAATGAGAAATGTATGCTTTCTTAGCTCTTAAGAACGCTTGTATTATACATAAATCATCCTTAACACACTCTTTCATTCACAAACTCTGACACGCCTCGTCCTAATGAACGATCTTAAAAAAAAAAAAACACATTACCGTATAGTCCGCTCGCGTCGATAGTCCACACAGTCTAAAATTTAAAATTTAAACCTGTAAAGTCTGCGGACTACTGCCCTGAAAATAGGGTACTTATACAGCCAGCATAGTCGTGCATCGTCGGCAGTGCTGGCTAAAGTAGTAGAAAGCCACCAAGGACTGTTTTTTGTGTGTTTTTTGTTTTGTTTACATGTTTGTATGAATAAGCGGAGCGCAAGTTGGTCTGCTTCTTGCCCAGGGGTTGCATTGACGTAAGAACGCCGGGCTCTGATAGGTTCCGATTGAAAGGAGAGTGGGTAGACTTCAATTCTAGCTGCCTTGAAGTCTACCCACTATCCTTCCAGATGCAGCCAATCAGAGCTCGGCGTTCTGACGTCACCGAAACATCTGCGCGAAAGGCAGACAAGCTTGCGTTCCGCATAGTCGATGACAGCTTAAGAAGCGTAGGGCATGGTGCGTCCCGAGCACCTCATCATCGCATCTAAGCCAATGAAATTACGGCATTACCCAACAAGGACGCCAAAGAGCGGATCACAGCTGTAACCGTGAACATAATGAGCCACGTCCTGCGTTTATTAAGCTGTCAGTTATTACAGCTTGCATCCGCTGTGATCTTTCGTTGAATCCGACTGTCCAGATTATGCAGTGGCCAGAGAGTGTCTTAGCCCGGATCACCTACGACCTCCGCTTGGTCATGTTCCCGAAAAAGGACTTCGACAAGTGGAAGCACTTCTTCGCCCCCTGCTCTTCACAGCGACTCTTTTTGCCGGTGGGCAGTTGCTTCGTGCCGCAACGCACTCTCGCGATGAGTTTCCGGTGAGGCGTACCACCGAGGATGGGCTACGGCAGATAACTTCCTTGGAGATGCGCCTCTAACTGCCGCGGCCGGAGCGCAATTTCGTCTGCTTCTTTTGCAGGCGTTGTGGTGACGTCAGAACTCCAAGCACTGATTGGCTCTGATTGAAGGATAGTGGCTAGACCTCAAAGCAAGCTGCCTTGAGGTCTACACACTGTCCTTCAATCAGAGCCAATCAGAGCTTGGCGTTCTGACGTCAGCACAACCTCTGCTAAAGAAGCAGACGTACTTGCGCTACGCACTCCGTTTAAAGGCTCTCAGAATCAGGGCACCATAATCATCATGGGCTCGCCCTTTTTATTCCTCACAGAAAGGGCGGTGACCATCGTTTGCGACATTCCTGTGGTAAATGATGTCGAAACCCTGAGACTGGGAAGGAAACTTGAATATATAGGGTGGTTTAAGTCACCAGGCTCGATCTAAAATGGACCGTAAAAATCGACGCCTGCACGTCGCAATCTAAACTTTTCATCAAAGGTGTAATTCCCAGGTCGGTTTTTTCTTGTAAAATTACAAAGCGTAGCTCTCTTTCCGTAAAAAATAAGGCCAAAAAACTTGTCAGGGTCTACGACGGGCAGCAACGCAGACGACAGGGGTCCAGTAGCGGGGTGTGTTTGGCGTTCGTATTGATAGATGGCGCTACCTCCTTATCGCGACGGCTCGCGGCCACCGTGGTTTATTAAAATGAATATAATCTTCCTGAAATGCACCTTCGGTTAAAAAGTAAACGCGAACAATAAAAGTAAAACTTAAAGTAAAAAAACGTGTCTGCATAAAGGCGGCGCTATAGCTGCTAACGGATTTCGACAGCGTGTCGTATGCTATCTTTCGCTGGTTGGCCGCATCTTCAGGCGCTGCTCCCGACGCCATCTATTAATACGAACGCCAAACACACCCCGCTACTGGACTTGGTCGTCTAGGTCACCGCCCGCCGTAGACCCTGGCAAGTTTCTTGACTCTATTTTTTACAAAATAGAACTACGCTTTGTAATTTTACAAGAAAAAACCGACCTGTGAAATACACCTTTGACGAAAAGTTTAGATGGCTACGTGCAGGCGTCGATTTTTACGATCCATTTTAGTTCGAGCCTGGTGACCTGAACCACCCTATATATTAGAAGAAACAGAAGGAAGGTAACAGACAAGCGTCTCAAGCTCAGATAACAAAATTGAATTCGTACGACGCTTTTATACCCTTCTCCTAAGGGCGTCCACAACGTCGAGAAAACAAAACAACATACACAGACACTCTCTTTCCAAAGTGACTTAAACGACCGATCTCCCCAGCCAGCTTTACTATGCCACCGCTGTCGCAAGGATTCGAGGGAACTTTAGTCTTTCTGCACGTGTGACAACCTCGCTAGAGCTCTGGTCATGTAGAGCACGAGATGGCACACACTGCCGCGTGCACTGCAGTTTGCTTCCTGGGGCCCTAAACTCGTCAAACACAAAGGTGGAGTCGAACGTTCACGGAGCACGCGGATTGGACGTCCGCGAAAAAAGCGAGAAGTCATCGTCGTGATAGGCCCAATCGGGGCGTTCCGCCAACTTCGGCCCCAACTTTGTGTTTTACGAGTTTAGAGTTCCTGAAAACTAAGGTTATGGCGGCGTCACGCATACGCCTAGCGCTTCGTGAGATCGATCTATTTAAAACCAGATCGTTCCAAAAAAAAAAAAAAAAAAAAAACTGAACCCAAACAGTAAGGAGGGAACGCCGACCGAAACGTTTCAGAAAAACCTAAGTCCTTTGACACAGATACCTGTAATTTATGTTTCCTTTTTATTTTATTTTTATTAAAAGTTATCGCACATATAGAAACGGCATCAAAGTGGCCATAAAATAATTTTAACGCTTTGAGGAACTTTAGTGTCGAGGATGCTTACCAGCCCTTTAAAGAGACACTGACACCCCCAATACATTGATTTTTTACCAGGCGATTTATTATGGTGTCAGAAGACTACCAAGTCACTGTTTTGCTACAACGTCCCGTACATTTTTAATAAAGTAACAAAACGCAACTGCTCTAAACCGAAATCGAAAGTGGGTTGGGGAGGAAGAAATACAGAGAACAGAGTTGCCGGAAGCCTTAATTGTAGCTGTGTAACCTTTCTTTTTTTCGATCAAAGTTTTTCACTTTTTTTTAAACATAAGCTACAAAATGGGAATCATATTACATTTTTATTTTTAATATTGAGTGTGTGGCTTCGATGACCCATGACTTCGATTATACTTGGTGGTAGTGTATAATAAACCATAGAGAATGGCACGTGATCAATAAGAAGAGAGTGAGCGCGACTCAAACTGGCCAGTCCCCGATCGGCGTTTTTCGGGCGGAAAGAAAACAAATTTTGAGCCGCAAATTGTGTTCTGGCTAGTTGAGCTCTCATATGTCATGTGCAAACAAAACCTTGGCGAGCATAAATACCCTGTCAGTGTCACAGTAATCGTAACTATAGGGTTTCGTATTTCCGGCAAATACTCATAAACCACGAAAGTTAACCCCTGAAGCCGTTTTCTCAAAATCAGAGAAAACCGAAAGGCATCAAAGTGTAGCTGCACTTCAGTGAGGAAACCTCGGAGATAAACACACATTTATACGCAACACCAAAGACTTTACACCGAAAAATACAGAATCTTTGGGAAAACATAAAGAACCCAAACCATTCCCAAATTCGGAGAAAAATAAACCCCGTTAACACGGAACCTCAATCATAACACACGGATTAATATTAGTGAATGTGTGAAAAACATCGCTTTTTTTTTACTATTAGTGAAGACGAAGGACAGTTACATGTTATATAGAAAGCTTAGTGCTATACCTTATCAATAGCTTGGAACTTGTTTTTCGCCAAAAGACCTATGAATAAGCCAGGATATCTGCTTACATAGTTGCAAATGATTTTCGATGCCAAGTTCAGCGCGGCATTATTTCCAGGACATGCTACTGAATGAGGACGCGGTTCTATACGTGGACGCTGACACCCTCTTCCTGGGCCCTGTCGAGGATCTCTGGGATGTCTTCGACAAGATGAACAAGAGTCAGATGGTGGCCCTATCTTACGAGGCTGAGGACCCAACTACCAACTGGTACCAGCAGCACGCCAAGCACCCTTACGTTCCGCCTTTTGGTACGTATTTGTACAGGCTCTCCCTTTTTCTAAAGACTTTTGTTGGCTCCATTAGATTACCTCTCTGCTTCAAAACAGGGAAAAAGTTCATATAGTTTTCTAAGCATGCAAAATAAAAGCAGACGTCGCAACTGGACTTCGGTAGTAGAAGCTCTCTTTCCCCCGAGATGAATCTTTCGAAAACCGTTGTTAATGTCACTTATTAATCGTGTACAAGAAGCTACATCCCTTAGCAGGATTTAAATATTTTTCTTTAAAAAAAAGTAAATAGACCATATACAAACTTTTTGTCAGCTACCATCATCATACCATTCGGAGCCGCCATTTTTTTTTTCGCATCTTCCAGTTGTGCATGAGGCGGATCCGCATTTAACTCGATTTTTATGATAGTGGAATAATATTTTTGGGCACTCAATGGGCTTTTCACTGTTTAGTTTCGGTTCATAAAAAATAAAGTCGACTACCGCGAAATTATAGAAAATGAATTCTCAAAGACTCGACACTCAAGCAGCGAACTGGGCCATCCAATTTAGTGAATGCTCTTTATCCAAGACGCCGTCTGAAGGGTTTGTACTGGATAGGAAGCACGTGGTCATATTTTAGACCTACGAGTCCCACTAACTGTCTCTCGGGCAAAACTATCGGTACGGAAACGATTATTAGTGCCACTATGCTTGAAAGTTGATATTTGATAATAAGTACGCTAGATGGCGCTTTTTTTTTTTTTGCATATGGTCTATTGAGTGCACCTCTACAGCGCGCCACACCAATTTTCCCTGCGAACTATTAATCTATTACTGCCACGGAGAGAGCCAACACTTGTATTGTTCTACTTAGAACGAGAAGGAAAGCCACTGAGCAAGAAGGGACAGGATTAAAATTGTGCCATACCCATCGTTTGTGTCGCCTCGCATTAGGAGAACACTAAAGACGAATGCACTGAGGATGAAGATAATGTATCGAAAGAAGAGAGTTACATGTTTACCACGTCGACTTCCAATACAGCAACCAAAAGAGAACATTTTGTCGATTTTCAAGCACATCATCGTGCTATTTTGTTCAGTAAGTTATGATAGCTCTACATTACACTTAGAATGTAAGGTGTTGTTTCAGTTACGTGTTTGCGCCACTAACACTGGAGGGCTTGTGAATTTATTGGAAACCAACACTAATGAATGATTTGGTGTTGGTTAGGTGACGTTAGGTTATATATGCCCTAAAAAAAACAACAACAACAACAGTGATATAGCTTTAATACAAGGCTTCACCTTGGGTTTGTCCCCCGGCCGAATTTATTGAATACTTCAATTTACGCCGGAACCGTTGACAGGGGCTCAGCTATTAGTCATGGTTACATTTTACCCAGCACCTCCTCACTTTCAATGAAATGATGTCAAATCTGTCGGAGCAAAACGAGCGCCACCTCCATTAAATATGTTCACGGGTCTCAAGTTGGTCTTTACGGCATAGTTTGGGGAGCGGTGATGAAATGCTCGAGATACACCACACTAAGAAAAAGAGGAAGAAAAATGCAGCAACTGCGCGATTTCCCCCCTTCTACTTACACGCCTCCAGGCGGACACGAGAAGAAGAGAGGAACGAGATGTTTTTCTCCTTCTCCAGGCAGATGGGAGAAAAGTTCAAAGTCCTTCCTTTCGCCTCATCTTCTTTCGGATTGTTTTTTATGACACGTAACACACATTATTTTTATTTATTTTTAATAAACGCGAGAGTCCAATGAGCGTCAGCGACAACAAGGGCTGTCTGTAATCCAGTGTGCATTTATGACATGCCGGGCACCTCGGTTGCATTGACACTTTTACCACTAATTTTGTCGAACAGTAACCGAAGCCGTTAGAAACAGCGTTGTTCCAGAGCGGTGCCAGCAGCGCTACGTACACTGAGCTAAGATTCCCGTCTCCGAATTGCGGAGCCATGCGGAACGACTTGAAGGCGTTCTCGACGTTATGGAAATCGCGGAAACTGCGCCCAAGACCGGCATGTTTTGCTGCCTGCGTATCGTCTGTGCTGCGTCCGGCTATGTTTTCTGATGGCGAGTGCCAACCGACGATCAACCTGGTTTTGTATTTCGGCGTGTCAGCAACATAGAAGCAACACCGTGATGGCAGTGTTGCGCGTTGTGAACGAAGACTGGAATTGTCGCCGATGTGACCTTGTGTTGTGTATCAGTGGTGTAAATGCGAGTTGAGATTACGTAAACTATCGGGCATTGATGCCGCTGGTCGGGCCTTGATCGAAGGGGGGGGGGGGGGGGGGATTGGAAGGGCGAGGGGGGTGTGGGGGGGGGGGGGGGGTGCCGCTGTTCAATCGCGGCAGCGTTCAGCGTAAAGACTGACGATATGCGTAGCGTCCTGGTGTGCTCGTGAAGCTTTACTAAGCTCGATTCACTCAATTCAGAGCCGCCATATTGCTACGCAAACAATGGAGGAACTTCGCTCTCTCGTTTGCAGGGAAGAACGTTGCTCCGTTTTTAAAGGAACACAGGAGACAAAATTGTTCCACCCTTTATTGAGATATATAAGGACCCTTTTTTTTAAAAGTGCACGCTATGTGCCTGAGCTGTCAGAACCTTCCTCACAATTTTAGCGTCTTTGTCGTCTGTAGGAGGCGAATGCCATAATCGTCACGACGTTCTGAACCTTCCAACTCTTTACCACGGAAGCCAACGCCGGCACACAGTACAACGAGCTGAATCTGAGAACTTTCTTCTACAGGAGTGAACGCCGGCGTCATGCCCATGAACCTTACGCGCATGCGCGAATTTGACTGGGTGTCGCACATGGAGGCTCTGCTCAAGGAGTACGAAGGCCGGATTCCCTGGGTCGACCAGGATCTGGTGAACATTCTCTTCAGCGCCCACCCGGACAAGCTGTTCCTGATGACGTGCCGGTGGAACTACCGCCAGGACAACTGCCAGTTCCACTCGTCGTGCTTGGGTCAAACGCCCGCCCTTCTGCATGCCAACCGGAGGTGCTTCTTGGTGCCAGACAGGGCTCCCGCCTACACTGCCTTCCACCCTGTTATGCGGAAGGTACGCGATTCATGCTGCTTTCTTACGGAAATATTATTGTTATTCTCAGCTAAGGAGATCTGCCTCTAACGTAATTTGTGCGCTTCCATACGGGAGCCTTTATTGACATTGGAATTTGCTTCCGAATGTACGTTTGGGGAAACTACTTTGTTGTCCTTCACTCTGTCTCTGCCATAAAGATTACTCAGTCTGTCCGACAGCCACTGCAAAGCGAGATTGCATTCACAAGAAGCTGCAAACATAACTATGTAATTTGTATGGGCGACTGTATGCGTCAGTGACAGCTTTAGAGATGCAGGGTGGGTGGGCCGAGTCTCGATATTATTACCGTTTCGCACCCGATAAGCTTGCGGAATCAGCCGATAGCAACACCGAAGATAGAATGACGAGGTAAAAATCGTGATAATGTTCTTCCACGCTCTTCGTGCTTTCGATGACTACAAATGCTTATTTTCCTGGCATTCGAAGACATTCGAACGACAAAAAAGAACATTCTCTGTATCAAGAAATTGCTGCAGCATCACCTATCATTCAAAACGTGTTTATCACACGCACGTAGTAAGGGGAAAAGTTGCAAACAATTGTGCGTATTGCGTGTGTCTGAGAAGAGTTCGTTGAAGCGGTCGTTTGGGGGGAGGTGGGGACCATGGGGCAATACCGCACGGGCAGCGGGCACACATTTGCTCTCTTGTTTTCCTCGCAGTACGAGCTCGGCACAAGCCTGGAGCGGAACTTCATCGATCCACTGGAACGCGAGCTGCACCGCGTTCGGCGAAACGAGTGTGTCGTTCAATTCCTGCTTCACTCGAAGCAGTGGCGCACTTTAGCGAGACAGTTGGACGACGAACGAGGTTACAACGACGACTCCAGCGACGAGATGACATCCTGATCGACGTGCATACGTGCATCGTGCAATTGGTGACCTCCGCGGAATCAACGGCACCTAGTGGCTACAACATGAAGCTGTCTCGGCCACTTCTCTCGCCAGCTTTTTTCGGGCAAATAAAATATTCACAGAACCTGGTGGTCTATGGACCAACACCGCCGAGAATTATCAAAGGTCTTAAACGGCCTCCACGAAACTCCGTTTACCCTCACCGCTCATTCACACTGGAAGCGGATTCGCGTTCGCAAAGCGGTTGCGAACGCGGTTGTATACAGATCCAATACAATTGCATGCGCACTCGATGACATCGAGTGCGCGTGCAATTGTACTGCATCTTTATACAACCGCGTTCGGCAACCGCGAGTGCGCGTGCAATTGTACTGCATCTTTATACAACCGCGTTCGGCAACCGCTTTGCGAACGCAGATCCGCTTCCAATGTGAATGAGCGGTAAGTGTCGTCGCACTGAAATTGCGTCAACTTTGCAGTGCAGGGCTTTGATCATCTTATAGTCGGTGACAACTTAGGAAACGATTGGTGTGGTGAGTCCAAAGCATATGTACAAAATGTCCTCCCCCCCCCCCCCCCCCCCCAAAAAAAAAGTACTTTTTTATTTAGCGTTAAAATGAGCCATGCGTCGCCGAACACTCATTGTCCGCCCAAACGGAAGGTGCCAAAATTTCAATCCGAATTCCGATATCTTTTTCAAATGTTATAAATGATTTCGTGAAAATTGCAACGGAAAAAATGGGGCCCATTTTCGGCCGTTCTCGGTACGGCTGGGCAATTGATCGATTTAACCAGTATACCTTCGCGTTTTCGCTGTCATTATCCTTTTTATACATGTTCATTCTTCCCAACGTTGTGCTGCTTAGTTGCAATTAATACAGGACCAGTGGGCTCGTCAAGCTGCTAAGAGCAGCTTTTTTTTTTTTCACAGCCCTTCCATCTGTATTTTTACAAGCTGGAAAATAAACACATTTGAATTTGAATTATTCGATTAAGGTTTTAATCTCGATTAATCTTTTAACCGGTTATTTGGTAACATTCTAACGAACCAACATAAAGTAAAAATTAAACGGTTTCACCCTGCAGATGTGGACGAGAATGCCTGTATGAATGGCAAATTCTAAGTCAAAATGTAACCTAAAGTAAACTGTAGGGGCAATATTTGTAACTCCTCACAAGGGGTGCAGAAGGTTACACGTGCGTGCCCCAGCCATTTCAACGCCGCTTAGGTGTCCGTTTAGCGCAGCAGGGACTATAGTGTTAACAATCAAAGGTCGCTCTTGCCGAAGAATATCAAGGAACCTCTTTACCTCATGCAGCAGAAGTGATAATATGTGAGTGTGAGTGCCTTTGCACTGTTCTCAACCACACATCAAGGTTGAATAAAAATAAAAATTCTACCCTTTACCTCATCTTCAGCAAATGCAAAAACAGAAAAAAATATTAATTTTGACTGTTTAAATATGTTATGCATGGAAATGTACGAGACCGATTAATCGATAAATTAATCGATTAAAGGGTGGCGATTAATCGGGTTAAAACTTTTAATCGACGCCCAGCCCTAGTTTTCGGTTTGTGGCGCAATAAAGAACTTAGTCGGCCGCCATTTTTATGATGAAATTTTCGGAAAATCACTTCTATTTTTTTAATAATATATCGGTTCGGGCTGAAACTTTGGCCTCTGGTTTGAACCTCCAGTGCTACCTTTGGACGGATAATGAGCACTTGGGGATGAGTAGTTCATTTTTGCGGCGAAAACAACCATGTGCATTTGTTTTTGGAACACCGCATATATAATCCCTCCATAACCAGTGAGTGAAGAGAGAAAGAGAAAAGGCGCTCACAGATTCGCTACACCAGCTCGCATGCACTTTTACATTTTTTTAAATATATTTTGTTAATAGGAAGCACTTTGAACTCGGTAGTTTCCCTAATATTGTGTGCACAGAGAGTTCGGGTCTTTGTATTTGTGTGCTTCCCAATTCGGTGGGGGCGAGCGAGCTGACGAGTTGCGATTTCCAAACAACCAAACCACCCAAACAAACAAACAAAATGTTTAGTCGGGGTTTCATGTGACGTGAAAAAAGGCTTCGAGCATCTAGAGATCTTTTGGTGGACGATCCTCTTCCAAAGGATCGTCCACCAAAAAAAAAAGCTCAAGGCCTGATTTACCAAATTCCTCGTGCCGAATGCGATGCCTCTTATGTGGGGGAAACGAAGAACTTTCCCGAACGTCTGCGTAGTCATAAGTATAACGTAAAGAAGAATGACATCCAAGGCAGCGTGCTGGCGGAACATGCTCAGAAGACCGGCCACGTCATTGGCTTTGACAGCAGCTCCATCCTCAACACAGAAAGAAACTGGAGAAAGCGGCTCTTAATAGAATCTTGGCACATACAAAATACAAGAAACAACCTGAACCGATCCACCGGAACGCTTCCAAGCAGCTATATACACGGGCTAAAATGCGCCACACACAGAAACAGAAGACGAAAACAAAGCTAAGAGAGAAGAGAAGAAAACGACGACAGGTTGCTACCTTTGGGCCAGACTTGTACACGTTACTGAAAAAAAGTAACTGATTACAATTACAATTACTACAGTCAAAAAAGTAACCGATTACCGTTACTGATTACTGCCTCCCAGAAGTAATTGAACAATTACTGCAAAGTAATTGATTACTTTTCAAGTTACTTTCACGTTACTTCTTATTGCGATGACAGAAATACACAAATACACAGTAAAATATTGCGTACACAATTTTGTTTGGTTATTGTTCCCTTTTTTGTTTTCAGACCCGGACCTTGTCGTGTAGCTGACGCGTCGACCTAAGGAACAAAGCCCACTAAAAAGTCAATAGCGAGTTCCCGCTTCCCGTCGACTTTATCAGCAATCCGCAACGAGATCCGGAAGTCCCCAGCCAAGGCTGGTGGCGCGCTTGTAGAAGAGCGTGGCGTAAAAGAAAAAAGGATTTGCCGACTAATCCTAGTTTTATTTTTTTTTTAGATGTTAAAAAAATGTCAATCATTTTTCCTCCATGGCTGAGTGACTATGCTGATTTTTGTGAGAAAAAAGAATTGTGGGATGAAAAATGTAATTCGTAATTGTGTAATTGATTTTGTAATTGATTACAAGAAAAAAGTAATTGAATTACTCCGAGCGTTACAGCTTGACAAATGTAATTGAAGCGTTACAAAATTACACTTAACTGTAATTGATTACAAGTAATCAATTACTTGTAACGCGTTACGTACAAGTCTGCTTTGGGCCCATATACAGTCACCCGTGAACAAGGAGCCGAGCTGGCTTCGAAACGTCGGGCACATTGAAGAAATTGGTTAGAGTCTACGTAGTACTTTTTTTTATTACTTACCTAACCAGGCGGAGTTCCGCCGAAATGTTTACATTAAAGCATCTAGACAATTCCAATCCTTGCGTTTTGTAAATGCAGGTTACAGTGTTATTCCGGTAGAGCCTACCCTTACAGAAAATAAAATTTTTGTTACTATCTGTTTAGTCAATATTCAAAGTTCCCGGAATTTTTCTCCGCGAACGAAAACAAATATGTAACGGATTACAATCATTCCTTTACGTGAAAAATGCCAGGAAATTACTTAAAAATTACTTTCTGAAGTATGTATTTCTTTCCTTACAAAATTACTGATAAATATAACGGATGACAAGTAATTTCGTTACTTGTAACAGATTACGTACAAATCTGCATACACATGTCCCAGTATTTTTTAATATTTTTTTAGAACTCTTTGTTTCTACATTTCCTTCAGTGGCATATGTTGGCTTCCCCTGTGTTTTTTTACTGCGACTCTGAGGCGAGTACGCCGTATCATAAGCTCAACTTCGCTTCATAATAAATCGCACCATCCAGCAGACAGCCCGAAAGACGTTGGCAAAACGCGCCGCGCCGCCGCGGGCAGGTGGCGAAAGGAAGCACCCCATATGTGGCGGACAGCGCATCCGTACTCTGCACCGCCCCACTGGCAGAGCTCGGAAACTCAGCAAAAGCTCGTCGCTATTTCTTTTTTTTTGAGTTGGTTGATTTACGCGCCGGGAATTTGAGTGAGTCCTTGTTCAAATTTAAGTTTCTAGTTTTTGTCGACTGGCTTATGATTACAGTCTGGACAGGAGTTACGTGTGTTTGAGGAATTCAGTGATTATGAGTTCAGCGAGAAGAGGACGTTTCACTCGGTGAGCCGCCGGCCAGGTAGGCCTATTTCTGCCTAGCTGCTGAGAGCCCGCTCGAGCAGCCCTAGCATTGCGAGGTTGTCAACGTCGTACTCAAGGAGTGAACCCCCGTACTGTCGTCGTTTTTGCGATGGTAGCAGGCGGTGTCCACACGTAGACTTGCTTAGCCAAATTATTAGCGTCCTCCTTTACAGGGAGCCTGCAGTGTGCGGGGACCCCATGAAAATCGACGGCCGGCTGCGAAGGGCGCCGCTCTCCGGGTGAGCAGTCGCGTGTCGTCGTGCTTTGGAGGTGGCGAAGAGCTGCTCGGGAGTCTGATACTTGAAAGAATAACTACCGACGTCAGCGGAGTCGCCACCAGCTCCGTCTCGAGCGGAATCGATGCCATCCCGCACGGCCGGCGAACTTCACCGAGTGCCTCAACTTCTGGGCGCCCTCTCCTTTATTTGCGGGAGATTCGGGCTGACATCCACTTCAAGGTTCACGATCAGTGGGAGTGTCATTTGTATCACCAACCGCTGTTTGTTTCAAGCGCTGTCCAGTCCGTTTGAGTGGTTCCAAAGGTTTAACTTGTGACAGTACTGTGTTACGTCCAGATTTGGAGTTCGCTGTCACTTCATCAAAAGTACGCCGCAAAGTTTTATATGCCTGTCACGATCATTCGTGTGAAGCATGATCAAAACTTATGAGGTGTGTCGTTGTTTTTGCTCTTTTTGTTCTTTTTCCGGGTCCCAAATACCTAAAATATATTTTGCGACAAATAAATCGATGGTTTCTATTGAGTTTGCTCC